CACTTTATATTGCTTTTCACATGAATTATATGAAAATCGATTTCTTTCAGTAGAACAAGTCTAATTTTGGCTCCAAAACAACGCGACAGCATGGAATAAGATAGATATAATAGAAATGTATGTATGTTGCTGAATAAAATAAATCTATATTTAAAAATTTTTGCTACGATATTATGAGGTGCATTCATCATATTTTTTTAAGATGATAAGATGACTGGCAGGTACATTTTCCCCACAATTATATGAGTAGACCTTAGATTTCCATCGAATTTCGCATACCTTACTTTGCCAAGAAGATATTCTCATCCAGGACAGAGTGTACTGCAGTTTTGACCTTATCTAATTCTCATCAGCACCCCCAGTGGGACTCGAACCATATTTAACATTACGAGATTATACGCTGCAAAGTTATGGTTCGTGTCCTGGTGAGGCTGTTTATAAGGTCTAGGCGAGGTAAAATCTGCAGCTCACTCCTGTCTGAATGAGAATGACTTTTTGGAAGCAAGGCTATGTGAAATTCTATAGAATCTTGAGGTCTACTCATAGCACTGTAAAAGGTCTAACTTCCAGTCCCGTTATTACCTCAACCGAAATAGAGTGAATACACTACATATATATTATCTTCTGGTAGTCTCAAAAATCTACTTATAAACAGAACATTAGTATTAGACCTGATAAGAGATCCCACTTTCATGAAAGTAGAAGAAAATTTAACTTACACTTGATCACAAAAGACCTTACGCCTGAAGGATGCGCCTCCATCTCATTAGCTCGCCCAATTAGACGTAGGTGTCATGCCTATCTCCATTGCCCTTCAGTCAATTTAAAAAAGCTTTGGAAAATAATTGAAGTTAAAATTATGGCAAAATTATACATTATTTTTAATTTTAGATATAGTGTCCTAGGTCGCCAAAAAGGCTATTGATTAGCTTCAGTTATCTTGGGATTTCACACCAAATGTAATAGGTTGCTCAGTTCACCTTGACAAAGTAATCCGAGTTTCTATGCGAAAATAGCTGCTTTTTCAGGGATTAAGACAATGAAGAATAAAATATTAATACCACAGCTGAAAATTTCCCGGCATAATTTCCACATGCAGAGTCGAAATTCTGCTTTCCGCTAGCATACTAAATTTTCATTTATCGTTTAAGTGTGGGGTACATATTTCCACATACTCACGGTCGGTTTATCTTCAAAACATAGCCCTTTTGTTTAGAGTCTTTCCTTACATTTAGAAGCAAAACGAGATTTAAGCTTTGAGCCTTGAACTCACGAAAGGGCCTCAACTTGTCGCCCAAAGTACCGGTTTTTAATAGGATTTAGTATTTATTCCTATTCCATCCACGTCTACCTCCCTCAACGCTGGCTTTTAGGAAACACGAATAAAACTGTAAGCCAGCATGAAATGGCTAATTTAGCCAGTCACTTTGTGGCTAGCTTATGAGAAGCTGAGTGGGCATGTTTGTAGTTGAGTGATGAGCATCTCGCCACGACACTCTCAGCAGATGCTTATCACTTAAGTCAGTGAGCCATCCTCCTTTTATCTCTTCTCCTGATTGGGTCAAATTAGATTAACAAAATTGGTCCGTAATCAGGCCATATTTTTTCCTTAATTTATATATGGCGAATTACTGAGATTTACGATTAAACTGCTCCGCATCGGTTTTATTTCGTTAGATTTCCATTTTTAATTTTCACATCACGTCTCGTCAAAATATCTCTACAAAGCTCTGATTATAATCGACTGCAAAGTTCACCGAGGCTTTATATGCATTAAAAGATTGGGCCGATGAATAATAAAGTATGTATGCATTGTGTGCGCATGTTGTGAGATTCTGGCTGCAACTACTCCTCCACTTCAGAGCTTATTGTTATGCGAAATTGGATTTGTCTGTAAAAAAGGGATAACAAACGTCTCACATTCGTGGTGTGCTGATTTCTTTAATCCCCCTTCGGAGACTTTGGTGTTTTCCAAGTGTTGGATGCATATTCACAACTGGAATCATGTGCGAGTCTATGAATGTGCTTGTGTATGCATATTTGTCTCTATTTGATGTAACCATCTGGTTGCATTGAAAGAAGCTTAAGTAGAAGATAAAGCTAGCGAAAGGAGTTAACTACGATTTTTTACTCTCAGTAAAACCATTTATAGTCCTTAATATTTTACAAATTGCTCGCCATTTTCGGTTTTTTTATTAAATTCCTATGCAAGTAAGTTGATTCGAAACAGAATTTTAAAAGAACTGCAAAAATTAGATCTTTACATCTCTGATTAGAAGAAAAGGGGATATTCTACAAGCAGTCTAAACTTTTGAGAAACTATTGGATTGCAAGATGATTTCGATGGACACTTTTACATATGGCTTATCAAAAATG